GAAAGCAACCCAAGTGTCCATTAACAGATGAATAAACAAAATGTGATGTGTGTATGTGTGTGTGTATACGTATATATATATATATATTCAGTCTTAAAAAGTAAAGAAATTCTGACATATGCTACAACATAGATGAACCTTAAAGACATTATACTAAGTGAAATAAGCCAACCACAGAAGGACAAATATTGTATGATTCTACTTATATGAAGTACCCAAAGTAGTCAAATTCATAGAGACAGAAAGTAGAACAGTTGTGGCTATGGGCTGGGAGGAGGGGATGGGCAGTTAGCAGTTAACGGGTATAGAGTATCACTTTGGGAAAATAAAAAATTTCTGGAGATGGCTGGTAGAGATTGGCCCACAACAATATGAATGTACTTAATGACCCTGGACTGTACACTTAAAAATGGCTAAAATGGTATATTTTAAGTTATATACATTTTACTACCAAAAAAAGGTAACATATGAAAACAATCTAATGGGTTTTGTGAGAATCACATGAGATCCAGGTAGAAAAGCCTTGTAATCTATACAGCCCTTCACAAAGGTTATCTCTTCTTAGTCATTATCACTCCATTGTCCCCAATCTGATACCATTATCCACATGCTTTACCCGCCACACTTACCCAACAGCACACTGTATGAGTCTGAGTGCTATCTGGTGAATATCCATCTTCATTTTGCTAAACCCTGGATGCCATGTGCTAGCCAACAATATCCTATTGTTCTAATTCTTAAACAAAACAAAAACTCAAAGACTACCTCCTCTTACCCAGTTTTTCCCAATGATTGGCTTGGAAGCAGTCCTCATTCAGTAATAAAAGGTTACCATGCCATGGCCAAGGATAGGGCAAATCTTCCTCCAATTCAGTTGAATGCCCTGGCCTTCTACCAAACAACATATCTCACAACACATCCTTTGAACAGATGAACAACTCTGAACCTTCTTTGAAGGAATGGGATTCTGGGAAAGGAATAAAATAAATATACATAGTATGCACTGAGAATAAAATTAATTAGCTAAAAAATAAAGAATGAAAATGCTAAAACATGACCAGCTTTGATGGACTAGACAACTCTCTGTAGAGTAGCCTCAGGGCTGAACCCTCAAATATTCCCAGAAAGTAGAGACATTTCTGTAGAACCAGCCTGATAATGCAGCAGTGCAGAACTTAAGAATGACATTTCTTTCTAGAAAGCAGACCAATTGATATCTTCATCCTGATATTGATCAGGATCTGTGTCAGCATCCAAGTGCTCTCTAGCTACAAGTTTCCTTAGCTCTTGCAGGCGCTGCTCATTGAAGATTTCTCCACACAAGTAATACTATTGGTCTCATCTGACACCGTTTTCATGCAATGACAACTATCTCGAAGTTGCTGCCTTTCCAGATAACCCCTGTGACAACAATGAGGAATTTTATTCCATGACTCTTTGAAGAGGTTTAAACATGGATCAAACATTAAGTAGTATCTACCCCAGTCTTAGAAATTTAACCTTCTATGACTGGAATAAATAACCCAAGTCTCTGTGCCCTCACAGTCTTGAATATCTTTGCTTGTTTCACTTATGTTTACCTCACTCAAGATTCTTAGTATCATCGACAAGACTGTATAAGAACTCAGGACTTTTCTACAAAGTTTTCTGCCAGTGCTCCACAAATCATGACTGCTGTCTCGCAAATTCTTTGATTCTCCACTAGGTACCCTTTCTCTTCCATTCAAAGCCCCAAATAACATTTATGCTATATATTTAGTCTCGTTTTTTTGAGAAATGCTTCTTTGCCTGTGTTCCCCCTACCTTTTCATACCATACTTATATTGTTAACTGAGGCTCAGTCATAACACCAACAACAGCATGAAACATCCCACCATCTATCTTCATTTTGCTATTAACTGGAGGCAAAAGAAATGCTGTCACTCAGGTAGTATCTCAATGAAGGGAAAGACTCTCACAGACAGGCACCAAGGCAAGAATCACTAGCACACAGTCTATAAGTGAAATCTAAAGACAAAAAAGCAAGCATCTAGGATACATCCCTTGCACACACCTCCTCTTTTATAACCAGCAGAGTGAAGTTGGTTGCTGAAGTCATAGAACCAATAGTATATTTTCCACAGATGGCTGATGATAGCAGAACATGCCCTGGCTAAGTCCCCCACCGTTTTCTTGAGTAGCTCATTGTTATGAGCCACGGACTCACCAACACCAGGTCACATGTTCTATACTCTTTCCCAAAAACAGTGACAAAATATGCTGAGCCATCCATATTTCCTCAGTTATATTGAGGCAGGAGACGTAACAATTAGGCAGTATGTGGAGCCAGAGCAACCTCGGCTCAAACCATGCCTTAGCCACTTGTTGTGGGACCTAAGGAAAGTTACTGAAACTTCTTTAGACATGTTTATCAATAAAATGGGTAGAGTTGACTGGCTCCAAGATTCCTTGACCCTTTGATGTATTTGTCCTGCATAATTCCTAAGACTGTGATTATAATGGATTTTACTCTCATGATTAGGTTGTTACATAGCACAGTTGACTTTAATACAGGGAAATTATCTGATGGGCCTTGTCTAAGCACAAGAGTCCTTTAAAAGCAGAGGTCTCCCCAGCTGGTCAAAAGAGAGGAAGTCAGAGATTCAAAGCAAAAGAAGGCTTCAAAGTGCCATCACTGGCTCTGAGATGTGGAAACCCACATGAAAGGACCAAAAAGAAGCCCCTAGGAGCTAAGAGCTACAGCCCTCCACCAAACAGCCAGCAAAGAAACAAGGACCTTGGTCCTACAACCACAAAGAACCAAATTCTGCCAACAAGAAAAATGAGCTTGGATAACATTAGGAGAAATACCTAATTAGATGACAGGGGGATGGATGTAGCAAGCCACCATGGCACGTGTATACCTATGTAACAAACCTGCATGATCTGCACATGTACCCCAGAACTTAAAGTATAATAAAAAAAAAAAAAGAAGAAAAAAAAATGTTTGGGATAAGAACCCAATAGCTTGATTTCAGCCTTGTGAGAGCCTAAGCAAAAAACCCACTCGTGTCCACCCAAACTTCTGACCTACAGAACTGTGAGCTAATAAATGAGTGTTGTTGTAAGCCACTAAGTTTGTGGAAATTTGTTACACAGCAATAGAAAACTAATACAATGAGGACAGAGCAAGTGCTTAATAAATGTTACCTTTGATTATTACTAACTCATTGGGATCAGCTACACAGTTGTAAGAAGGCTAAAGTACAAATTATTTATGCAAGGCTGGCAGTGCAACATAGCCTTCAGATCCAGGGTCCATTTGGTCTAATATGGCTGATATTAAGTGTTTCTCAAAGGGAGAGACATCACTGGCATTCAATGGGGGGAGGGGTTCATTGTGCAGAACTGCCCCGGACATGGCGGTCCATTTATCATCGCTGGCTCCTCTTCCCCTAGTAGTAGTCTTTGCAACAACTGAAAATGCCCCTGTACATTTCCAAACATGCTCCTCCGTAAGGGTTGAGAACTACTTTAAGGGAAATTTCATAAGAAAGCATGGGTGCCTCCCGGGGCGGTGGCTCACACCTGTAATCCCAGCACTTTGGGAGGCCAAGGCGGGCAGATCACGAGGTCAAGAGATAGAGACCATCCTGGCCAGCATGGTGAAACCCCGTCTCTACTTAAAAAAAAAAAAAACAACACATACAAAAATTAGCTGGTCGTGGTGGTGCACGCCTGTAGTGCCAGCTACTCGGGAGGCTACTCGGGAGGCTGAGGCAGGAGAATTGCTTGAACCCGGGAGGCAGAGGTTGCGGTGAGCCGAGATCGCGCCACTGTACTCCAGCCTGGTGCCTGGCGACAAAGCAAGACTTAAAAACAAAAAAAAGAAAAAGAAAAGAAGGAAAGCATGGGTGTCTTAATGTTGCCATAAAGTTACCTCAATAACTACAATGTTACTCAAATTACCTAACACTAAGTATCACCAGCGGCACTTTAAAAATAATGATTCCCAAGATCTTTCCCTGGAGTCCCATTCCACAGGGCTGGGTGGAGCCCCAGGAATCTATACTGTTACTTAATGAACCCAGGTGAATCTTTTGTTCATGTAAGTTTGCGAAACACTGGGTTAGATATATACTAGACCATACCATGCATTTAGCAAAAGTTCACCACAATGGAACAATGACTCACACCAAAACTCTTTGAAACTGCCTTCTATAGAGCTGGACATCTCGTTTTGCACTATTCCATTATACAAGGTATCCTCTTGGTCACACAGTGATTTCAAGTGGGACTCCACAGTCATAAAAATGGGGATACTCTTCTGAAACTTTCCATCCTTACCAGACTTACTTCTTGAAATGATATGCTCCATGGTGTAAAGTAGCACTTCTTAATTTTTTCTATTTATCCTATTTCGTATACTTTTAATACATGTGGAATTCAAAAAACGTCCGTGACTCCAATTCCGTGGTTATTTTACTGTCTTCCCTTTTCGGACAAGTCCCTAAAAGGTGGCGCTCTTGGCTCCTTCCTTTGCCCCTCCTCTAACCCTGTCCTCCTTAGGTGACCTATGGCTTTCCTCCAACCTCGGCAGGGTCTGCCTTTTCGGGTTGATACAACGACCTGTCCTGCATGCCATATCCCAGGAGCGCGGGCATCAAAGTATGGAAAAACAGATCAATGATGTTTTCTGTTCTGTTTCCAATACTCTGCCTGCCAGAATCCCTCGCCGCACCGCCCCACCACGAACCACATGGAGCCCACGGGCTACACGAGAACAGACAAAGGTCTGTACCTCTCCCATTTCTTCAGCTATGTTTCTCTCGGTTGGCATGCCCTTTCCTCATCTCACTCCATACACGCACAGCTTTAGCAAATAATATGCACGCTTCTGGGACGGGCCCCAGCATTTCCCTCCCCTGAAAGGGCGGAACTAAAATGCAAGCGCCACCGTTGTCAGCAAAGGACTTCCCTGTTACCATGGTAAAGCCGCTGCTGCCATCTTTATTGTGGTTGACGAGTACTTGCAGCAACTTAAGAGAAAATAGCAAGGAAGTCTGCAGGCTGAAAGCCTTCAAATTAGCCTGGACTCAGCTGAATTTGGCTCGAAACGAAGTTATCTCAGGGTGGGGATTTAGTCCTCCGGTGGACGCAACACGCGCCAGCAGCTAATAGAATGTCGTTAGGGGACGGGCTCTGAGTCCGTTACGCCCAGGCACTTCCGGCTCACGCGCCGTACGGAAGCGTGGTCAGCGCTGGGCTTCTGCTCCGTACGGAAGTGTGCTTTGATGCACCGGAAGCCGAATCAAGAGAGCTATGGCGGGTTTGACTGTGAGAGACCCAGCGGTGGATCGTTCTCTACGTTCTGTGTTCGGTGAGAGGAATTCGTTGCAGCTAAGCAACGGGGAGGGACGCCCCTCTACACCTCCCATCTCACGAATCGCTACAGTAGCCGATGGTGGTTCGGGAGTGCAGTTCTCCCTGCCTATCCTGTAGGGCGTCCAACCTGGTGGACTCGTGAGCAAAGAGATGTTCCCATTCTGCCGAGGTCTCGTAGCCTTTCCGCAGTATCACTGGGGAAGTTACACTAGCGTTCAGCTTCTGTGCGTTTCTCCTTTCATGAGCTTTAATTATTCTCTAGAAGAGAAGGTGCATGGCAACAGCTCCTCACTGTCCCGTACTACTTCTCACCTTCTGTCCCAGAATACAGACTATATGCCCAGGCTATAGATCCTAGTGTTCACTTCCTGCCCTCTCCTAAGTACTTTCATACTTTGATTTGTGCCTGTGACATTTTAGTTCATCAGTAGTGGTAGCGGCCACCTGGTGTCCTGAGATGGATTGTAAGTGAATGAATGAATGAACTATTAAGACCTCCTCAGAGGAATTTTAAAAAGGATTGAAACTATTCTGAGTTATCTTTTTGGCTGAAATAAGTTGTTATTTTTTTTTTAATGTGATTGTTTTAAAGAACCTTTCGAAAGGGACATGACAAAGTGATTTAGAATACTTTTTAAACATCCTCCACTGCATTCATGGTCATTCTCCCTTAAATGTTGTATGTGTAGAAATACATATGAACCTGTTTTTAAAATTATATTAAATAACATTGTTATATTTTGTAGTCACTGATGAGACTTGCACACTTTAGGTAAATACCAGTGCCTTAGTATTTATTTTCACCAAAGTTAAGGAAAAATCTAACACTTGTCAGATCAGTCTGAGAACTAACATTTAGGAGTATCTACACATTTTGTATTTAGTCTCAGTGGTGTATTTCCTTTGTTAAGAGGTTTGAAGAAATACAATGGAATTGGAATTGGAGAACATTATTTTGAGCCAGTTGTTACATATTCGATGATATAAATAGACAAATACTCTTTCTCACTAAAGATCTAGGTTATAAACTCAGAATTTATTGTTACTTATTTTCTTCCTTAGTGGGGAACATTCCTTATGAAGCTACTGAAGAGCAGTTGAAGGACATCTTTTCTGAGGTTGGCCCTGTTGTTAGTTTCAGGTGAGATCCCTTTTTACTTCATGGTGGGAGCTTCTTAAAAATCACCACTAATTTGACTAGTGGTAATAATGGCAGGTTTTCTTTACTGGTGACTTTTCACATACATTGCATTCTTGCAACAGCTTTATTGAGATATAATGTATATACTATACAATTGACATTTACTGTTACCTAAAATGTTTTTTTCATTAAAAATGTTTCTTAAAATATTTCTGTGAGGCAGTCAGCGCTATAAGGTTATTTATGTTACAGTGGGCCCAATTAAAGCATGGCAGTGTTAGCAGGAACCCTGTATGTGTGTAACATTTGTTCCTGATACTTGGTTCTGCTCTCTAGATTGGTATATGATAGAGAGACAGGAAAGCCAAAGGGTTATGGCTTCTGTGAATACCAGGACCAAGAGACAGCACTTAGTGCCATGCGGAACCTGAATGGGCGAGAATTCAGTGGGAGAGCACTTCGAGTAGATAATGCTGCCAGTGAAAAGAACAAAGAAGAGCTGAAGAGTAAGTACAAATCCAACTTGTATGCAGTATGAGTTAGTAAAGATGTAACAATGAAGATTTTCCATTTCTGATAAGTTTTAGAATATGCTGAAATGGTTAGCCACACAGCTTGTTTATTACTTGACTGACATGATGTGCCTGAGTTAGGTAAGTATTACATATATCTTTCAAAAATTTTTTTATAAATTTTTTTGTTTGAAGCAATTCTCTGAAATTTCTATACCCTTGCTCTGGATGGAGCAGGGCAAGGCCTCAAACCATTTCAAAACTGCTCTGGCAAGCACTGTAGGAATGCATAGGGTCACTGCAGACCCAAGCATGCTGGAGTCTTGCTAGTAAGTGTATCTTTAAGAAACAGGTAAAGTTGACATTAGAAATAATTCAGTTGCTCCAGCCTGGGCGACAGAGCAAGACTCTGTCACAGAAAAAAAGAAAACAAATTTTTCCGTTGCTAAGGAGTTGATTTCCAGTTAAAGATGAATTCAAATTTATTAAGCCATTAGTAGTACTAACTATGGCATTAGTCATTTCTGTCACTGTGTTTCCAGGAATTTTTCAAATTAGCATGTTTTTCTGTTTTAACCTTTTGTTTCTATAATGACTTGTCCAAAGAAGTCAATGTGCCCAGTTCTCTAACTTAGGTTAACATTATCCATCCATGTGATCATGATCCCCAGCTTTCCTCTGAGAACAGAAAATACACTCTCATTTTTCTCCCCAGAAACAAGAGGCTTTCAAATCATTTATTTCTCAGCTCTGGAAAATCTAAAATTATCAGCTGGTTCTTACAGCAGCCCAGAAAATTAGATACTTGAAATGATTTAGCTTTTTGTTTTGCATCCCTAACTCTCTTGTACTTTCTTCTTGATTAGGCCTTGGCACTGGTGCCCCTGTCATTGAGTCACCTTATGGAGAGACCATCAGTCCTGAGGATGCCCCTGAGTCCATTAGCAAAGCAGTTGCCAGCCTTCCACCAGAGCAGATGTTTGAGCTGATGAAACAAATGAAGGTGGGAGGAGGCATTAGGTTATGAATAAAGCAAATCACATCAGGTTTTCAAGGAGTTAATTGAATTAGTTCCCTGAGCTCAAATAGAAATTGTCTGTAGACCACCATTTCTTGCACCTTCAATATTCTATATGTACACAATATATTTGACATTTTGTACAAAGAGCTTTCTATTTTTGTACAGAGACACAGCTATCCAAACAATCCAACTGGGTTTTGTGGCCCATAGATGTCAGATGTAGATATTAAAATTTGGCCTTTTTCCTAAATGACCGTATCACAGTATTTGAAATGCCTCTTTCTTCTTTTGCTTGCCATGACCAAGGGTTTTTTTTTTTTTTTTTTTTTTTGTGCCATGCAAAAACTGATGATAAAGAGCCTCTTGAATATTACATTTCTCAGAGGGGAATGGCTCTAAATCACTATCAGTTTCTAAGTCATAAGTATTAAACCTGAATCTGCTTATCTTCTCAGCTCTGTGTCCAGAATAGTCCCCAGGAGGCACGGAACATGTTGCTTCAGAACCCTCAACTGGCTTATGCTTTGCTGCAAGCACAGGTAGTGATGAGAATTGTGGATCCGGAAATTGCCCTGGTGAGTGCTTCTGGTTCTTTTATGGGAAGGTAGGGTAAACCTTGAGTGGGATAGGAACTACCTGATTGCTTTGTTAAACAGACAGCTGATAGGTTTGTCTTTTCACTTTTTAGAAAATTCTGCATCGCCAGACAAATATCCCAACGCTGATTGCAGGCAACCCTCAGCCAGTCCATGGTGCTGGGCCTGGCTCAGGATCCAATGTGTCAATGAACCAGCAGAATCCTCAGGCCCCTCAGGCCCAGTCTTTGGTAGGGCTTTATCCCTTAATATTTTTTTTATCAGTCTTAGAATGTTATTTTCTTTTTAGGAGAATATATTGAAAGAAGAATGGTCAGGAACCAGAGATGATAATTTCAATTTCCAGGCATAAAAGCAATTTCCAGGTTGCAGAGCACATGGCATCTGAATGAATATAGATTCGATTCCAAGTTTGTAAAACAAAGAGACCCTTCCTGTATGCCCTTTTCTTATAAGCTAACTTTGTGTGTATGTGCATGCCTGGCACTGTGGTTGGCACTTCGTTATTCCATACGCATTATCTCATTTAATCCTCAGCAACTGTATGAGGTTGGCACTCTTATTATCTCCATTCTTACCAATGAAAAAAGTAAAGCTTGCTTTCAAAGCATGACACAAAACCCTAAAGCCACAACAAATTGATACATTTGAAAACTAAAAAATTTCCATGTAAAGAAAAAGAAATAAATATCAAAGACATGACAAATTGGGAAAAAGTGTTTGCCACACATGTGAGGACAACAGACTAATAAAGAGCCCATAGTCATGCACAGGAATGTTTATTGCCATATTGTAGTGAAAAATTGGAAATGTCCTAAATGTACATCAATGGAAGAATGGAGAGAATGTGTGGTGCATTCATCCAGTGAAATACTCTACAACAATTAAATAAACTACACATATCAACATGAATGACTTTGAAAAACAAAATTCCATACAGTAGCTAAGATGAACTAGGTTACATGACATCAACACAAATAACTGCAAAACAATACCATATGGATGTGAAACTAAGTGAAGTCCCGAAATGCAGGATATACGTATGTGCATAAATCCCCAAAATATGTTGAGTGAGTTGCAAAAGAATATATTGAGTATGTAATGATTCGTATAAAATTTTAAAACATTAAAAAGAGTCTTAGTGGTCAGCTAAGGAGAAGAGAGCACGGGATGCAGTTGGGAAAGACCATACACAAGATTGGTTTATTTTATTATTTATTTCCTAAGCTGGGTGGCTATCTTCTATATGATTTGTATATCTGTAATTTTTCATAATAAACTTTAAAAGGCCTCCTATAAATTAGTAAGAAAATTACCAATAACCCAGTAGAAAAAATGGGAAACGGACATAAATAGTTCACAAAAGTAGAAATGTAAATATATGAAAATGTATTAAACCTCAAAATAAGATAATGTAGTAAATTATCATTAATGTACATAATGTTACAAAATAAGATAATGTAAGTAGAAACTACAATAAGCTACCATTTTTCATCTCTCAGATTGGCAGAGATACAGGGCAGGGGCCAGCAAACATTTTTCTGTAGATCAAATGGTAAATATTTTTGGCTTTGCAGGCCACAGGATCTGCCACAGCTACTCTGCCATGGTAATATGAAATCAACCATAGGCAATATGTAAACAAGTGTGTGTGGTTGTGTTGCAATACAAGTTTATTTATAAAATCAGGTGGTGAGCCTGATTTGGCCCATGAGCCATAGTTTGCCAACCCCTGCTCTAAATAAATAAATACATTTTCAGAGATAGAAAAAAACCAAGGCCCAGAGAGGTTAGCTGGTCCAAAACTTAATACAATTATAAGTGGTAAATCTAGTTCTGAGCCTGGTATTATCTGACCTCATAGCCAGTTTTCTCTTAACTACCTTCTTATACTGCTCTTCTGTTTCTTTTTTAGAGTTTTGTGTTCCTTAAACATGTATGCAATTTTTTTTAATATAACTTGGCTTTTATTCTTTATTTATTGAGCTCTTTCTATTTCAAGAGACTACTCAGTTTTTTGGGGAATGCACAGATGAAAAGATGACATTCTCTTTCCCTCAAAGAGTTTTAATGTAGCATTAAAAAAAAATTTACATTCCCCCAAAACCAGAATTATATCTAAGGACAGGAATGAGAAAACATTGGTTAAATTAAAAAAATAATAATAATTTTTAAAATGTGGACTACCAGCAGTTGTTTATTTATTATTTTTTTTAAGAGTCCCAGTCTCCTTTTTTCTTTTTTGGCTTTAGGGCATTTTTTTTTTTTAAACTGTTATTGCCAGGCCCCAATCATGAAGTTAACAATAGGTGCTATGTGCTGTCTTGCCACACAGATAAGACTTGTCAATCTTTGCATTGAGAATATGTTCCATCTTAACCGTGTTCCATATAACCAGGTTCATGATGTGTATTGCAACTTGCTTCTGTGGAGTTCAAAGTGTGTGACAAATCTAATGCTGCATAAGACATGCTATACAAAAAAGATGTTTGGTAGTATATTTCGGGCTGTTCATTTGAAGAGGACTTTTAAGGTTATAGACTTAGTATATTGAGTATCCACAGAGGCATGTACATACTCTGTTCTTTTTCTTGGTCAGGGTGGAATGCATGTCAATGGCGCACCTCCTCTGATGCAAGCTTCTATACAGGGTGGAGTTCCAGCACCAGGGCAATTACCAGCATCTGTCACAGGACCTGGCCCTGGTTCCTTAGCTCCTGGAGGTAAGTTTCATTTAGTCTTCACCATTTCAGTACTTGCTAAAGTTTTGTCATAGGCACTGTTTCAGTACAGCCAAATATGATAATGGGATCCTTAAGTAAAATTAATACACAGCTAGAAAGCATATATCCTAGGTGGAGGAAATAGAGTTCTTATGTTAAATCCTATATGTCTAATTATAAGAAGAGGGAGAGGGACAATAAAGCGAAAGAACATAGTAAAACTTCCAAGTTAACGAGGGGGAAAATGGAATGAGTGGAAACTAAATCAAGCCAGCAAAAATAGAGGAAAGGAAAGAAGGAAGGGACAATGTAAAATAAGTAATAATAAGTGTAGAGTAAGATGGAAGGAATAAACTAATGTTATTCTGCTAAATATGAATGAACTATTAGATTAAGTTCAAAAGCTCATGAAGAAAACAGACAAAAAAATACAAGGTCACATGTGTTATATCATGTTAAACTGACATAAAATTGTATTTTAACAAACATAATTAGACCAAACAACAAAAGGAAAAAAAGAGAAATTTAAAAGCTATATACATTTATTGAAAGTGTACAGATAGGCAATTAATAAGAGTATTGCTCATATACTTGTTCCTTGTTCAACAATTGTAACTAAGAAGATTGAGTGAAACAATGATTCCCCATATGAAATATCTGTATAAACCCATAATGTATTCTCAATATTTCAAGTTTTTTTATGCAACAAACTTGCTTCTTATTAATTTATTCTAGGGTAGATTAGATTACTCAGGATTTTTGTGTATCTACTTTATAATAGAGTTACACGTAGATTTAAATTATCTTTCTTTTTTTTTTTTCTTTTTTTTTTTTTTTTTGGAGATGGAGTTTCGCTCTTGTTGCCCAGGCTGGAGTGCAGTGGCGTGATCTCAGCTCACCGCAACCTCCGCCTCCCGGGTTCAAGCAGTTCTCCTGCCTCGACCTCCCGAGTAGCTGGGATTACAGGCACGCGCCACCACGCCCGGTTAATTTTGTAGTTTCTAGATTAGCATTTCAATTAGCATTTTGCTAATGGACAAACAAGTAAGAACACTGAGGAATTAAATAATAGGATCAATAAACTTAATATATAGAGGGAGCCTTATATCTTTTGACTAGAGAATGTACTCCCCACCTTCACTAACCAAGGAACAGTTTTAAAAAAAAATTTTAAGTACTTAGCCATAAAATTAACAAAGTCAAAGATAGGGAGATTTTACAGAGTATATTCTTTGTTTATAAGCCAATAAGATTAGAAATAAATAATTAAAAGCCAACTGAAAAAAAACTTTACTTGTAAAATTAAGGAACATACTCTAATCCTTGAATTAAAGAGGAAATAAAAAGAAATGTATAAATTAAAGGACAAAATGCATGTATATTTCATACAGAAAAAGTATGAGAAACAGTGAAGACAGTGCTTAAAGTAAAATGAATATCCTTAAATGCCTATATTAAAAAATAAAGAAACTAAGTACTAGTTGTAAAGAATTTTAAAAAGACAATAAACCAGAGGATACCAAGAAGAGGGAATTAATAAAAATTGAAAGTAAGCATAAAGGAAATTCAAATAATTAAATTGTCAAGTGATATTTTTGTGAGTTTATAGCATTTATACTTCGGAAGTTATGAAAACTTCAAATCTCACTAAGATTTTTTAGTTAAAGTGCTCTTTGAGGCTGAGCACAGTGGCTCATGCCTGTAATCCAAGCACTTTGGGTGGTTGAGGCAGGAGGATCACTTAAGCCCAGGAGTTAGAGGCCAGCCTGGGCAACATAGTGAGACCTCGTTTCTGGGGGGAAAAAAAAAAGCTCTGACAGTGAAGAAAAGAGGGGAAAGAAAGAACCTAGTAGAAAAATGGGCAAAGAAAAATGAGTAGGCACTTCATAGAAGAACACATCCAAATTGCCAACAAAAACAAAGTCATTTACAGTCTGGGTTACAAATTAAATAACAGTGAGACTTAAATCTATCAGACTAGCAAAAGTTTCAAAGAGAGACGACACTTAATGTTGGTAGAAAAAAATGATACTCATATATGGCTGGTGGAAATGTGGAGTTTTTCAGCCTTTTGAGAAAGTAATCTAACATTAAAAATTCATATACATTTTGACCAGAGAATTCCACCCTGGGAATCTAGCTCATATAAATAAAAATGCCATTATGTGATAATGTATAATATTAGAAAGTATGCCCACAATGCCTTCGGCCATTTCTTTCCTTGAATCCTAAATTTTTGTATTGTTTTGGTGATTGGTCTAGATAGAGTGAATACAATGTTAAGTCTAGAAGAGAGCTTTGAAATCATTTAGACCAGGCTTTCATTTGCATGAATGTTCTTGAGACAGTTCGACTAGTGGTTCTCAAACTTTGGTATGTGTTAGAATCACCTGAAGGGCTTATAAAACAAAGACTGCTGGTCCCCACCCCCAGACTCTAATTCAGTAGGTTAAGGTGGGGCTCCAAGAATTTGTAATTCTAACGAATTCCCTGATGGTGCTGAGGCTGCTAGTTCAGACAACTCATTTTCTTTACAGATGAAGAAGCCTGGGAATGTATTGATTTTATCAAATCATTTATTTAGAATTAAAATTACTTAGTAGTAAGGTTAGGGCTAGCACTCAGTACTTTGGCTTCTTAATTCATAGCCCTTTGGTAGTTGGCATATTAAATGGAATAGGGGAATGTGACATGTACTTGCTCTTTGAGGGAAGTATTAATGAACAGATAATAGATCAGCTTGTCTTTTCTCCCCACTCACACCATATATTGCTCCTTTGAGGAAAAGAGAATTGCGGCTCTATGGAAAGGACCAGACAAGGACTTGTGGTGCATGATTATTCCTTGTATAGCAGTTATCATTCCCCAGCTCGTTAGACCAGTGGTTCTCAGCCCCGTTAGACACAGTGACCCCTTTTCATAACTGATATTTTGCAATGACTCTGCTCTGCTGAAATGAAATGCACAAAGGATATAACCTATGTAACATGATTTCAAAAAATCAGTATGATATCCTAATTACAAAGAAATAAAAGGACATTAATTTTTAATAGAAAAATTTAATAAGCAAGTGATTAGGCACCACTACACCAGAAAACAAATTTAATAATCAGATGTTTATACCTATTTCATGAATGTAAAAACTGAAAATGCAGAAAAGATACAGGCGTATTGTTTTGGCAACTCAAATACCACAAGGACTTTTGACATCAGCTATGTGATTTTCTGAAATGGTAAAATCTCACCTTAAAGTTATTAAACTGCAGTACTCATAATTTACTCAGTAATTGCATTTCTGGAAAATTCAGTGTATGTGTATATAAATAAACAGTACAAGGAACCTTTGTGTTTACAAATACAACAGACTTAGGTTCTGAGTTCAGAAGACTGTAAGTTAGTTTTCATTTGTGTTCATGAGACATTTGAAAGTTCAGGACACAGGGTAATTCTTGATTTTGTGGAACTTACACATTGCAGAACATCTAGTATCCCTGGCACTTTCTTATTCAAAACTAGCCGTGGCCCCACAAATCTTGTCACAACCAAAACAGTATACCCACACAATTACAAAATATTCTAGAAATGGTACTGCCTCCCATGAGAGGAGGTCCGTGGGTAAGTGACATTGTTTTCCTGTATTATAGAAGAGCTTCCTGCCAAGAGTTTGGTAACCAATGAGATTAATTATTCTTATTGAACTCACTATTCTGTCACTGAAACACAAAGTATACGTTGTAAATATACTAACACACCCCATCTTCTATCTCATTGCATTGTTGAATATCTTTTTTTGTAGGTTTCTGCTTGTGGAGCAGAATGAAGAAATTTATAAACTCAGCCACTGTTCTAATTGGTGTTTTTTCTTGTCTGCCCTTTTTCTTCTAGGAGGAATGCAGACTCAGGTTGGAATGCCAGGAACTGGACCAGTGTCCATGGAACGGGGACAAGGTAAATAAATATTAATGTCTGACTAATGTGAATTGGTCTTGGAAGTGTTCCACATCCAAGTGTCTAATACAGCAGCCACTAACCACCCGTGGCTATTTCAATATTAGGTTAACTAAAATTAAGTAAAATTTAAAACTTAGTTCCTCAGTCACAATAGCCACATTCCAAGTACTCAATGGCCACATGTGACCAATGGATACCACGCAGGACATTGCAGATACAGAACATTTCTATCATTGTAAAAAGATCTCTTGGACAGTGCTGGTCTAGACTTTCCACCTGGTGATTCAGAACCCAGCTCTACAATAATTGATAATGAAACAAGTGGATCCTTTGTTTCCTGATAGTCTAATAATTCCACTGACATGTTCTCTCTCCCTATATGGATATCTGTTGACTGAGTAAGGAATTTTAATAATGAGCATGTAACTGTGTGGCTGAGTATGTAGAAGACTAGATTTAAACCCTAGAGAAAACTGGGAGGGGATCATAGGTCTGTAAAGCCTACTTTATAAACATCTGTTGTACTATGGCTGTACTGCTGTCTACAACAGTAATTGCCGCTCCAAAATCTCCACGTTATTTCTTCATGTTAGTGGAATTTGAAGGACAAGAAAGTGTAGTAGTTCAGTTGGAAACAATGTTAGGAGGAGAGATGGTGAGAAAAGAGAAGGAACTGAGTGCATACTATATGCCAAGCACTTTAATTTTCATAAATAATCTTGTGAGTTAGGTGGCAGCACCTTAGTTTTACAGGCAAAGAGTTGGATGCTCAGAATAAGTTACTTACTCAAGGGGACAGGGTAAGTAAATATTAATGTATGAGTAATTGGACTGGATTTGATGCTCTTATTCTCTCTTTCAACTAGTAAGTGGCAGAGCTAAGATTCAGAAGTCTTTGAGTCTAAAATCTGTCCTCTTTTTGTCACTCCACACTGCCTCTGTTAACTTCCAAATATATTATTCAGTGTCTTCTACTCCTTTTCCTGGGGAATAAGATGATGGGAAAGACTGCTTTGGACAAGCATAGAAAAGCTTAAGGTTTTTTCCTCTGTAGCATATGGCCTATAAGTGGAACCCATTTAAAAAGCAAAATATTGGCCAGGCACAGTGGCTCATGCCTGTAATCCCAGCACTTTGGGAGGCCAAGGTGGGTGGATCGCTTGAGCTCAGAGGTTTGAGACCAGCCTGGGCAAGATGGCAAAACCCCATCTCTATAAAAAATACAAAAACTAGATGGGCAATGGTGGTGTGTACTTGTGGTCCCAGCTACTTGGGAGGCTGAAGTGGAAGGATCAATTGAACCCAACAGGCTGAGGCTGCAGTGAGCCATAATCACACGACTGCTCTCTAGCCTGGGTGACAGAGCAAGACGCTGTCTCAAAAAAATACACACACACACACACACACACACATTAATATACAAGCCTGTGGTTTGTACCGTGGGGTTGGTTGCTGAAGTGACAGAATTTTTTCTTTTAGATGTCTGACAACAGGACAAACTCCCTGGCCAAATATCTCATATTTTCTCTTAAGCATCCCGTGCTTTCGTGCTATTGTACGCCCCCCTGTCCCCACCCCACCACTGTCAGTAGATCATGTATGTTCTCCAGAGTTTTTGCAGTAATGAGAAGGTATTAGGGTTTCAGTCATACTTCTACCTGTCATAGGCCCAGCACTCAATCCGTCAGGTTTTAGCTGTTTAATGCATACTTGCACAAGACATCTTCCTTCCTGTTATAGTAATCTTCACCTTTCTGTCAGAAATTTACAAAGGGAAATGACTCATGTTTTGAGGGTATTTCCAGGATGTCTTCATGAAGAGACAAAGTAAGATGAGCTTCCTTTTATAGTTTCCTTTAGTACCCAGCAGAGGAAGCAAGAGTCTTTTCATGTGTGCCTGGTTTGTCTTACTTTTCCTGGAATCCATGCTGCTTTTGCACATTTGTAATGGTGAAAGGAGACAAAGATGTTTCTGAAGATACTTCTTGCTACCCCACCATGTTTGTTTAGTGTTGGTGCTCATGTCATCTCATTAGTCTTTGCTGTTGTCATGATGTTTATTATCAAAGTCTTGCTGTGACAGTATTTCTTGTGGAGTGATACTCTCTTTCATCATGTAAAGTTCGTTGGTGACATTTCCCCATCTGATACTTTGGTGACAGCAGAAATTTTTGTGCTTTAAAATGTAACAAAAATAGAATTGCTGTACTTCACTTATGGCTGCTTCAGAATGAATCTTGCCTTCCAGATACAGTGTAGTTTCTTTCATGTTTGTCTTCTGAAACTATGTTTATGTTCTTTGCATAGCTAGAAGATTCAAAACTGTCCTTTTTATATATTTTTTTTTCTCTAATGCTATCATAAGGAGACCTAAGTGAAAACATAGTAGCAGTGGGGAAAATGGAAATGTCTGCTTATTCCTGCCTAGATCAAACCAGTGCCCCATGGGATTCCCTCTCAGAAGCTATCTGGTCAAAATGGAACTGTTTCAGAGACCCAAGGGAGCTAGTGTAGTTTAAGGAGATTTTGTAGCCTGGAGCAAGCCAATGAACTCTTGGCTTTTTAACTTATGTATGTAAATCTGAGTCTCTGTGTGTATGTTTCTGCATGTGTGTGCAAGCTATTTTAAGTGTCTGTTCTTTCTCCTTTTGAACTTACTGCTTACCTAGGAACCCTACAGCACTCGCCCGTGGGACCCGCCGGGCCTGCATCAATTGAGCGAGTTCAAGGTACCCATTGTATCTGTGGGTTTCCTTTTGCTTGTGGTGTTCAGGGTGGGACGCTGAGAGGAAAAGAGCTGCTTGGCAGTCATCCTCGCGTTCAGAACCCAAAAGGGTAGTGTTTTTGGGTTTTTGTTTTTAATTTTTTTTCTGTTGAGGCCACAAGCCTAAGATTGACCTCTTCACACAGGGCAGAGAACATGGATGATATGGGCATCTGTCCGAGGCTGTACTCCCTCCCTACTGGTGTCAGGAGGCCTGGATGGAATAGCAGTCTGTAAGGAGACAGCGGGTTCTTGCAGAGCCATGGCAGTGTTCACATATGCCAAGACTCTACCTCTCTTTTGTGACTCTGGTCCTTGAACTAAGATTGATTAGAAGGAAAACCAGGAGCATAAGTTTCTTCAGGTCGCAGTGCTAGTCCTTGGCAGGTTGCTCCCCAGTTGGCTCTTTATATAATTCCATCCATACCTCTGACATGGCACAGATTCTGCCTACACCCTGCTTCTGTTCTTGAGCTGCAAGAGGATTCTGCTGTGGTGAGGTTTCACCCACTCTAAGGTGTCTGAATTATGTTGTCAGTGGTATATAGAGTCATTTCTTGTTTTCTTATGTGTCTTTCACAGCAGTAACTCCCTGTTTGTTTCCCTGTCAGTGCCGATGCAAGACCCCAGAGCAGCTATGCAGCGGGGATCCTTGCCTGCCAACGTCCCAACCCCTCGAGGCTTGTTAGGAGATGCTCCGAATGATCCACGAGGAGGCACTTTACTTTCTGTAACTGGAGAGGTAGAGCCTAGGTAAGCACTAACATAGAAGGAAACAGTTGAAGAAATCAGAATTGTCCCTCCTTCCCTGAGAACAGTCTTTCTGTACCAGTTGTACCTGTTTGCCTACTTCAGAAGATAGGTAAATATTCGTGGCCACTGTCCAAGGCTAAGCATTTCTCCTAAAGCAGAACTATGTAGTTGAGTATGTCATTTCGAGCTACTGTATTTTCAGAAATTGGAAATTTTAGTATACATACTTGAACAGGGAAATTTGTAGTAGTAGAAATATTAATAATAGCAGTAATAGGCCAAGTGTGGTGGCTTATGTCTGTAATCCCAGTACTTTGGGAGGCCAAGGCGGGTGGATCACCTGAGGTCAGGAGTTCGAGACGTGCCTGGTCAACGTGGCAAAATCCCGTCTCTACTAAAAATTAAAAAATTAGCCAGGTGTGGTGGTGCACTCCTGTAATTCCAGCTACTCAGGAAGCTGAGGCAGGAGAATCACTTGAATAGGTGGAGGTTGCAGTAAGCTGAGATCATGCCACTGCACTCCAGCCTGGGCGACAAGAGTGAAACTCTGTCTCAAAAATAAATAAATAAATATAATAGCAATAGTAATAATTGACATTAATGGGGAATCATGCGTCTCACTCTGCTCTGAGTACTTTACTTACCATCTTATTAAATCTTAAAGACCCTGTGAGATGGATACCATTATTAGTACCATTTTACAGATGAAACTGATGTGTGGAAAAGTTAAATATGTCCAATATTACACAGCTAATAAGTGATAGAACCGAGATTTGAACCCATACCGTCTGAATCCAGAGCTCATATTCTTATGCATTGTACTGCAAACTCATACATAAAATGAATATTCATTGATTCCTCCCTAATTATGAACCAAATACGAAATTCTAGAATACGTGGATTTATATCTCTGCAGCTTTTCTTCCATCTATTTGGTGTTATTTTCTTGTTAGTATTCATGGACTGTTTACATCAGTTCTTTGTTGGATGTTTACTTACTGATCTTCTGGTTGATACTTTGTTGTTTTTCTTGTTCTATTTTAAAATAAAACGTTTTTCTCCATCTCCAGAGGTTACTTGGGACCACCTCATCAGGGTCCACCCATGCACCATGTTCCTGGCCATGAGAGCCGAGGACCACCCCCACATGAGCTGAGGGCAGGGCCATTACCTGAGCCCAGACCTCTAATGGCAGAACCAAGAGGACCCATGTTAGATCAGAGGGGTCCACCCTTGGATGGCAGAGGTAAGCGGAGACCACATTGCAAATGTGATAATGAACCCTGCTGTCTTACACTCTAATCTGGGATAAAGAATACTGGAGCAGTAGGTTTGCAAGCATCTTTAAGGTTTATCCACAAATCTGAAAAACTCGGGAGGAAATAATAGTCTCATATATTAATAGCTGAGGGGGCAAATGTGACTAGATTTCTGTCTTTCTTGGATTAATCATCATTCTTGCAGTACATGCAAGTAGCTACACAATGGTTTTCTTATAATTTTCTTTTAGGTGGAAGGGATCCCCGAGGAATAGATGCACGAGGGATGGAAGCCCGAGCCATGGAGGCAAGAGGGTTAGATGCCAGAGGATTGGAGGCCCGTGCAATGGAGGCCCGTGCAATGGAAGCTCGTGCGATGGAGGCCCGAGCGATGGAGGCCCGTGCAATGGAAGTCCGAGGGATGGAGGCCAGAGGCATGGATACCAGAGGCCCAGTGCCTGGCCCTAGAGGACCTATACCTAGTGGAATGCAGGGTCCCAGTCCAATTAACATGGGGGCAGTTGTCCCCCAGGGATCCAGACAGGTATGTGTAACACTGACTTCTGGCATCCAAGTGAAATCTTGATCTATTCAGGAATTGATTATTAAGCCTGATTATTACTGCCTTCTGACTTGGGCTGTTTCTCGGCTTGTAATAGAGGGAAGACTTGGATCTCCCTGTAGCTTCTCTTTCCCTTACACTGGTGATTTTCTGGCTATCAGAATTGTAGTTCAAAAAAAGAAAACAGCTTTATCCCACAATAAGTAGCTATTCATTCAGAGAAGAGTCCCTGAAAATTTAGGGGTTAGAAAGTAGTCTTCATTAGGGGTACAAACCAACATCATATACATAGTTTTTTTCAAAATATACTTGCCCAGATCTCATCCCAGGTATAACTCAGAATCTCTTATCAGTAGGATCTGAGCATGGATAGTTTGAAAAACCTCCCCCAAATGATTCTAATGTGAATCCTGACTGGGAATCACTGGGTTAGATTATATGAAGAGCTGTTAGTGGCCATTTAGGTAATCTTAGGTTTGTAGAGACCTGTGTTAATTTACTGTCATCACATAGCCTAAGTCAACAGTGGAATATGAAAGGCAATTTATTAATGATCAATTTAAAAGGTGTGGAATTGAAGTCTTGTCTCCTGTCTTTTATTTGGCTCTCTCTGCCTGTGTGTGTATGCTGGTCTGTGATTGTTATCGCCTCCCTCTTCATCTCCACTTGGTTGTGGAGAGGTGGTATGTGTGTTTCTTCCCTGAGTTTTTGTATGCTGGCACCTTCATTTCCCTCTAGCCGCTCTACCTTCCTTTTTCCCCCTTCCTCTGTGTGCTTCTCTCTTCTATTTGTTTATGTGTCTTCCTCCCCGTGTGTGTGTATGAGAGAGAGAAAATGGTAGAGCTGGAATGGAACATATCAATCGTCTAATTCCCTCAGTTTATAGGTTTGGAAATTAAGGCCCAAGAATTCAGGTGACTTGACCAAATTCACATAACTAAAAAGTGGCAGAGCAGGGAACGGAACCTGCTACTTTTTCCACTCTACTACTCTGTCCTGTTATCTGCACATTTTTATGTGTGTATATGTGTGGATATGTGTCTGCCGCCTCCTCTTTAATGTGAAATACAAATAGAGGTTTTTTTGGTATGTGTAGAATAAATCTGTTCTCTATTGTGTTTGAAGTATTCATGGGCCTTGATTTTTATTGAACCCGCCATGGTCGGTACAGAAATGGTAATAGAAATGGTTTGTATGCATTCATTCTGTCATTCAGCAAATACTTATTGAGCACCTACTATGTACCAAATATAGATCTAGGTACTGGGGATATTGCAGTGTGAACAGAACAAAGCTCCTTTCCCCCTGGGCTTACATTCTAGTTAGGGAGACAGATAACAAACAAATAACTACAAAATGTGCTTATGTAATTTTACTAGTAGTTCTGTGGTGAAAGACATTGCAAGTGAGGGTTGGAAGAACATTTCTGGACAATATTTTGCTCCTTTCTCTCTGCTAGTGCTTGAATTTATTACCCTAATACTAGGTTTATATCATTTTCATTAGTAAATTCCATAAAGCCAATTAGATCTGAGGCAAGAGAAAATACAAATTTTATCTTCAAACCTTGAAAAAAAGTTTAATGTATTAACTTATAAATATATACATTTGTTCATCTATAAAAGATACATAAAGAACTTAACTTCAAGCCAAATGTGGTGGCATGCACCTGTAGTCCCAGCACTCTGGAGGCTGGGGCAGGAAGATCACTTGAGCCCAGGAGCTTGAGGCTGTAGTGCTTTCTGTTTGCATCTGTGACTAGCCACTGCACTCTAACCTGGGCAACATATTAGACTCCCATCTTAAAAAAGCCAGGGTAGAATCCTGTAGTCCCAGCTACTCTGGAGGCTGAGGCAGGAGGATCAGTAGAGCCCAAGAGTTGGAGGGCAGCCTACAAAACATAGCGAGACCACATTTTAAACTTGCTTCCTCTCCTATGCCTGTCTCCCCTGTGGCCCCCTAGCTCCTGTAGTTAATCACTTTGATTAGATTTTTAATGTCACTTTCCAGAAAATATAAATAGATATTCTTATTTTCCCCCTTTTACTCTTCTGTACCTTTTATTTTTTCCTTAACAACATGTCCTTAATTCATACTTTTAAATTAGATTTTAAAATTAACTCTAGTCCACCTAGTTAGAAACTTGTGGGCAAAAGGCTTATTATTACTCAGATGATTATATAATTTATCATCTAAAGGAGAACATGAAAGAAAGTGCTGTTACTTTACTTGGAGGCAAAAGCAGAAACTGGGACTGTCTTAGGGAAACCAAGATGTATGGTCACTCTTGCTAGTACTTATCTGCCTAGAACAAGCATACCTAGAAATTTAAAGTGGCCATTATTGAGTGGTTAGATCACAATTACAATACCTTAAATTAAAGCTTCAAAAAGATTATACTCAATTGCAAATTGTGCTGCTATAAACTCATGTAACCAAACACTACCTGTTCCCCAATAACCTATGGAAATAAAAAAATTTTTTTAAATGATGATACTCATAGGTGTTTCAGATCCATAATAGCTCGTTAGTATTCAGACTGGTCTCTGGAAGCTTGTCTCTGGATTCAGTATTGATAACAAACAGAACAGTGATAGTATTCTAGCAGTCTGTATAAATCTGTACTCATGTTTCATCTATCCAGTGTCTTTGGGAAATTAGTTAATGCATGTAAGTGAATGTTCTGGATAATGGAACTATTCTACCAAGTTTTCTAACTTTTTAGATGAAAAATTATAAGATGTTTTTGATATTTCCTTTCTTCTTAAACAAGATACAAAAAAATAGTTTAATCACTTTTGACTACTCAAGGTCATCATTAAATAGATTCATTATTGTCTATGCTATAATATAAAACATAGTTATTTCCTGTTTGGTTTCTGGTCTCCTTCACTGTCAGGCTGTCACCTGGCTCTTCATATTGCTGAAGTGGTATCTGCTGCTAACAGTTGTTTATCCATATTTCTTTTATGTTTTGCCGCTTCTAATCTGCTGGGTAAGCAGGTAACAAGTTTGTTAACAATATGTGTTTATTAAGAGAGTACCTAAGCCCTGGGTGAATGCCTGAGTGTGAATGTAATGCTTGTATAGGGACATTCTAACAGTTACACTTGGTACTCAAGACATCTTTTCCTTGGGTTCTGGTAGTCTTGCAAAGGGTCAAACTCATTGAAGATCGTAAATACCAACAAGTATGATATTACTGTACTTTGTTCTTTCACTCAAGTCAGTCATATTTCTTGGTCTGCATTTTGCAGAGAGCGTCTTGCCATATGTTCTCTATGGAAAGCTATAAACAGCAAATGTTGAGTTAATAGCAACCTTTTCCCGGAATCCTTCCCATTGTCTTTCTGTTTCTCTGACATTATGAACAACTCTGCCTCACTTATGGGATAGGGCCCTTTGGGACAAACTCCCTGTGTCTGATTGAACTAGGGTAGGGAGTGGCCCTGTGAATGTAACTTCCCCAGTAGACCAGAATACATTTTTTCTAGACTCTATCTGCTTTCATTTGTGTTTCCAGTGAGCACTAGTTTCCAGGGTGCTGTCAGTTTTCCCTGTGCTTATTTGGCTGAATTTTCATTAATTCAGTGGTATCCAGTTGTGCTGTGTGATATTTGTTGATGATGCTGGAGCTGTTGTAAGCAAATATGTCGAACTTGCTAGTTGATCTCTGGATAAACCCTGCCTTCTGCTATTGCTAACAGTAGAAATGATCTTCAGTGTCATTGATTTACTTTTTTTACTCATATCTGTAAAGAGATCATAAGTTTTCACATTATTACTGAATTCAGGTTACCTACACATTAAAAATGCCAAAAATCTCTCTTTTCTCTTTGTGCACATAGGTCCCAGTCATGCAGGGAACAGGCATGCAAGGAGCGAGTATACAGGGTGGAAGCCAGCCTGGTGGCTTTAGTCCTGGGCAGAACCAAGTCACTCCACAGGATCATGAGAAGGTAAGCAACACTGTCTGACTGCCTCCTTATGCACAATTCTAGCCTTTTTGATTCCTCTTTTCACAGTTACCATGTGGTGATCCTGGGTCTTCAAAGTCCCTTTGGAGGTGATGTTTATTCTAACTTAGAACTCTTTTATGATCTTGTTACCTGAAAATTTGTGAGTCTGGTCCTAAAGTTTCTAATGGATGTAAAGTTCTTTAAGTGGATGTAAATGGCAGCTTATTTTATATTTCAGATTCATCTGCCAATAGCAGATTTTTCTTCAGGCCAGATAGACCAGAAAACCCACACCCTTTTTCCTTCCCTTTCTACTTTATCCCTAAAAACAATAGTAGATTCCCCATGATTATATCTTTCTTTCTGTTTTTATATTTGACCATTCTGGGGAATTTATGTCTGATGGAAAGGCTAAAATTTGTGAAAAAGAGAGACTTTTAAAACAGGATTAAAACCTGAAGGGTTTCCAGGGCTCACAGATACCATCTTAGTCTCCAGGAGCTTTGAGTTCATGAAGTTGTCTGTTTTGAATCGTCTAACCTTAGGTATTTTAATTTATACTTTTGCTTTTCTTTGTACTTTTTCTCACCAGCCTTTTTTTTTTTTTTTTTTTTTTTTTGGCCTGTTTGTTTTCTGTGTGAAATGTTATTCCTTTTTCCATTTTGCTTCATATCCCACTACAGTAGCTTTTTGGACAGAAGCTAGTGGTGGGCTTTTTGTTTTGTTTTTTTAGCTGTCATCATTAAAACTCACTACCTTTTTTTCCTCTGCACAGGCTGCTTTGATTATGCAGGTTCTACAACTGACTGCAGACCAGATTGCCATGTTGCCTCCTGAGCAAAGGCAGAGTATCCTGATTTTAAAGGAACAAATACAGAAATCCACTGGAGCACCTTGATAGGTGAGCAAACTTAATCCCATCTGAGTAGGACTAGCTCCTTGTCTATTCTGGGTATATACTTTTAACCTTAACCAACAAGATTGTTCTCTCACAGGCCCTCAAACCACTTAGAGTCTTCTTTACTCTTCAGTAGGTCAGCTCCAATAGGGATAGAGTAAGGCTATAGAATATTTGTACAGTTGTTGAATTGCTTACAGTCTTTCCTAATGACAAAGGTAATGTATGATCAGTTTAACAAAAGTAATGATATATAGAAATGTAGAAAATGAAAGATAAAAAGCCCTGTTTCCTCAATCTCATTCCCCAGAGAAAACCTCTAAATATAGTTTGGTGTGTATCCTTCTACAATCAGTTGTATTATCTTATTCCAAACTGTCCTGTCAAAATTTAAAACATACAAAACATTTCAATAAAATGTACAAATATTTTGTTTCCTGTGTTTTATAGTGAATGTTTTGATGTTAAACTATTACAGCACATAATTTAAGGTAATAAATGTCTACCATCACCATCACTTTCTATGTATTTTGGAGATTGCTGTACCCTGCTACCCTTATTTTTTTTGCTCATTATTTAGGCAGAAAGACTCCAGGGACCGGGCACAGTGGCTTACCCCTGTAATCTCAGCTTTGGCAGGCTTAGGTGGAAGGATTGCTTGAGCCCAGGAGTTCAAGACCAACCTAAACAACATAGTGAGACCCCATCTGCACAAAATTTTTTGGAAAATTAGCCAGGCATGGTGAGATACGCCTATAGTTTGAGCTACTTGTGAGGCTGAGGTGGGAGGATTGCTCGAGTCCAGGAGGTCAAGCCCGTAGTGAGCCATGATGATGTCACTGCACTCCAGCCTGAGTAACAGAGTGAGACCCTGTCTCAAAAAGGATCCAAGTAACCTGCCTCATAAATAATCATGTGACAACTTGATTACATATACATGTATCGGTTTTTCTTTTTTAAAAAAAATCCCCAGCATTTTGTATTTTATAAACAATTCTTTTTTCTGAAAGCATTTTAAAATTCACATCGTCCCACTATCAGGTAGGACATCACAATTTAAATTTCTACTTTTTACCCCATCCATATTATAATTCCTATCCTTATGTTATATAATAGTGAACTCATACTATTAATAATTACCACTCTTAATAAATCATTTTAATCCATATTTGTAATATCTTTAACTGCAGCTATACATCATATGTGTATTTAGACTTTAAATGAATTAATGAGAAGCTATCATAGATGGAGGGCTCTGTAGACTTTTGGTACCTTAATGTTTTATTCCACAAACCCCGCATATTCTATTTTTTTTTAGTAAAAGTATAGACTACCTATTATATTCAGAGGAATAGATAAAAAATATTTCTCTTTTACTAATTTACTTATGCGAGAGAAGGCATTTCCTACAGCATGAGAAAATTACTGTTTACTGTTTCAGGATAGTGCAGGTAGAAATGTTTCTGAACGTTCTTTCATTATATATATATTCTTGCTTATAAGATGTTTAATTTAAGGCCTTGCATATTAACCACAGGGCAAGGTTTTTGTCTATTTTTTTTACCTTTTATTTTTAAATAATTATAGACTCAAGGAAAGTTGGAAAAATAGTACAAGGAGTCTCATGTACCCTTCACCCAGTGTAGTACAAAGCCAAGACATTGACATTGGCACATTATTGTTAACTTGACTACAAACTCAGTTTTCACCATTTTTAAAAACCTACCATAGTTTGTATGTATATATGTGTGGTTTTATGCACTTTCATGTTGGCAAGATTTTACTGTGTGTCTACTGGTGTTTGTGCGTGCTATGGCTGACGTGTTGGCTTTCCCTCCATCCTATCCCTAGCTAGTTGTGATTCATCTCTGCCATCACTGACAGGCTTCTATACTATTATCATTAGAGATGAATGGTTCTCAAACAGGGGCAGTTTTATTCCCTAGGGGACATTAGGCAATGTCCCGAGACATTTTTGGTCATCACACTTTTAAGGAGTATGGCATGCTACTGGCATTCAGTGGGTAGAGGCAACTGAAACATCCCATAATGCACAGGATGGTCCCTGTCACCAACTTCCCAATAGCAACTAGTGCTCCAGCCCAAAATGTCAGTAGTGCTGAGTTTGAGAAACCCTGCTGCAAGGGATGATTGCTTTGAGGAGGCAGGACTCAGGAGACAGACACCTTGGAAATCTGGTGATTTGATTGTATGCTTGTCCTCCCTCCCCAGCCTTTTTTTTTTTTTCCTGATGTTTTTCCTGAAGAGAGCTTGTTCTTCACTTCTAATGGCTTTCTCCTAACTTTTTCCTACAGGTTTTCAAAAATACCTGGCAAGAAATCTGGAAATTAATTCTATAATTTTGTTGAAATATTGAAAAAGATGACCTGCATCCTAACCCTTGAATGACTCAAATCAGTGCCAGGTGGAGGACTCCCATCACCTTCTCTCAGAACAAAAGCAATTCATTTTATTGTCTTAGTTTGTATATTTTCTGTGACTTGAAATAAACTTTAAACACAATTTTAGTACACTGCAAATTGATATACATGACCTTTTTGCTTTTAAAAAGCTGAACACTAAGGGTGAAACCTTAGATGTGTTTTCTCCCCTTACTGCAGTATTGTACTTTAACATATTGCCATAGTTTTGTTTTTACTTTAAGTTAACCATTTATTTTTCTTGATGATTTTTGAGAATTTCTCAGAAGCACTGTTTTCTGGAACTTGGTTTTTGTTTAGTTTGCTTCCAGTAAGAATTATTATAAGGCTTTGCCCTCTGAAAACTTTCTAGGTCTTCTGAGTCTTTGGGAGAAAATAGCACGTGCTTAGAGCTATAAAATGGTCAGAAGGCTAACAGAACACAGAACTTAGTACAGCCATGTCTTTAGTTTAGAAAAATCCAAATATCAAAATGCATTTGTTTCAATAGCAGGTGTGAACATGTATAATTCACAGTTAAGACAAAAATTGTTTTAGCACTGGTTTGAGTGTGTCAGCAACACAAGAGACTGTTGACATTTACTTGTGTGTTCTTAAACTTATCAGTCTAGGCAGTCAACTTTGAAAGTTTAAAAAGCCACTGAGTTTTCACATGTTCAAGATGAAATAAAAACAAATCAAATGAACAAAATACATTTCATCCTACCTTCCAGGCAATCCCTAACCTGCAGCCCTACCCTGTAACTAAATTTACTCTGGGAACTTAAAACATAGAAAACCCTAAAACTTTTACATTCCTCTCAGTTATTTTAAGTAGACCAAATGTAGAGCACAGTCAGATTGCCGATTAGGTCTGCTCCTGCTTGCTTCCTTGCAGATAGGTGTGAACATAATTAATGCCATTCGCTCTAACCTATAGGTCTTCTTGCCTAATATTCATTCTCTCTCTCTCTCTCTCTCTCTCTCTCTCTCTCTCCTCTCTTCCTCTCTCTTTCACTCATACACTCTCTCTCCTAGTGGCATTAAGGAGGAACATGGTTTCTCTCCATCAGGCCAACCTCAAGAGGTTAAGAGTTGCCTTAATAATCAGTAAAGTTCTACTGGAACTACTTTTGAGCCAATTTATATTCTTGGAATCCTATCCCCTGGGCTAGGATTATGGTCAGGTGAATTAAAAGCCTGGCATAGGCTTAGAGAATGTAATAGCATATTGCTTACATGTCTAGCAAAATAATGCAAAGATAATCAACTTTATGAGTGACAATGAAATTGAGGGATTTTCTACTCTGATATATAAACATAAGAAATTTCCTGATTAAGGTATTTCATATTACAACATCACAAGAAAAACTTGCTCAAAGCAGGTGAGGAGCTTCCTGTGTATCCTGCTCATCCCCAGTTCAACTTGGATGTTGGTTATGCATAGGATTTATTATTTTCATTATCATGAATATAATAAATCATGAATTTATGCCTACTTCCATAAATATTCAAGACTTAGAATGTTGATTTTGGCAGTAGTTGTATCTTGAAGTGAGTGTGTCAATATATTTAGACATGGAGGCCAAGAGTGACACCTTTCTCGTTAGGAACTTGTTACAAGTTTCAAGGAACACTAAGATTCCAAATCAAGGTCATTGAAGATGAAATTATCATTTGGAAAATTATCATTTTCCTAATGCGTTAGTAAACCTGAATTAAATAGCTGAAATCTGGGCAAACAAATTGGCAACAGCAGAGGTATCCCTCCCTACATAAACACCCATAAGTATATTTTTACTGTTGTAATAGATGAAACACAATCAGCTACCATGAGTTCATCACCTACCTTTATTGTGCTCAGACTAGTGACAAAAAAAAAAAAAAGTTTTATCCCTCAAGCAATAGAGGTTCCTAAAATATTAGAAACAACCATTTGTTCAATCTTGGTCACTTAATGGTAGAAAAAAATAGATAATACAATGCTAATTCAGTGGAACCATTCTCATAAATCTATAATGAGTTGAATTGTCTGGGCACAATGAAGTGTGAGGTTTCTCTCTTAAGAGCCCTGAGCTTCTCTCCTAGTGATTCACTGTGACGACTAACTTCCCAGAGCCAGTATGGTCCCTGTAGGCCAAGGTTGGGTAGATGGGAGAAATAAAAAGCATTCTGATAGAGAAAGAAGGCATTTTGATTATGTCATAGCTGAATGATTCCTTAGCGAATAGGTAGGAGTCCACAAAAATCTATTAAAATTATAAATTGTTATTTTTTTAAGTAGACATTAATAAACTCCCTCAATAAAAACAGTGATAAAGAGCTCCTCTTGACTAAATAAGTCATCCTAACATGGAGTTCAAGTTTTCACAATTGCTTTTAACAGAATAATACAATATGATAATATAACTGACTTACAATTATAATACAATTTCAATTACAATAGCATACTTTCTAGATTTTCTTTTCCAAATGGAGAACCCAAAAATAAGTAACAAAAAACTCATTCATCAAGCAAAGAAGAAAGTCCTTTATTTTTTGACAAGCAAAAATAAGAATAAATTGCTGTTCACACTGGATAATACCATATCAAAAGTAACAGTAAAAATGTACACTGTTGGTGTTATATGGGGAAGGGGTTCTTGGTAATTTTGTTTATTATTTATGTTTATTGTTATGTTTTATCATTAATTATTCAATAAATTTTTATTTAAAAAGTCACCCTACTTAGAAATCTTCTGTGGGGGTGGGAGGGGCAAGAGATTACAAACCAAAATTCAGGAGATAGTAACATTTGGAATTGATAAAATTGCCTGGGATTGATTGTATAACTCTCAACCACCAAAGCTCTGCTATCAAGCCTTGTTACAGTCATGGCTGTCCAGAAGTACAGCTATTTTCCCAAGAAAGGATCCATGGGCTTTAAGAACTTCAGAAGTTTTTAAGTTGCTGAAGCTTAAGTAACAAAGTTGAATGCAGTCAAAAAAAAAGAATGCCAGGGAGTCAAGGCTTGAGAGGCACATTCTTAAAGTGACTGCTCAAACCTGACCAGACCAAGTTATTGAAGATACAAAGGAGAGACAATGCAGATTACCATCCTTATACCTATAATTCAAAAATTTTCTTTGTTGAAGTAGAATTGAACCTTCCTAGGATCTAGACTGGAATATCGGTGACAGCATTTGCGCAGGCTCTTTGCCAAAGTCTGAGGGCCACATAAGAAAACTCCCACTACAGACCTGTAGGAACAGAACAATAGTAAGGGATAGAATGCAACAATGATAGAATGGAGAAACTGCCTCTGTTAGGCCTCTACTACTTCGAAGAACCTTGAATAAAAATTTGGTTGTTAACTCCCACATTCTTCATGGTAATTTTTTAACCTTTTCTACGCACAAACCTCAAATATGCTCTCAGCCCTTATCACTCTCAGCACTCAGCCTACCCTGTTTTATTGAGAACACAGATAAGAGACATAGGACAGTACAGTGGCTAAGGGCCAGACTGTGGAGCCAGTCTGTCTGGGTTCAAATCTCAGCTCTGACATTTATCCCATCTGTGGGAATTTGGCCAAATTTCTGTTTTTTCTTTCTCCTTTTTTTTTTTTTTTTTTTTTTGAGATGGAGTCTCACTCTGTCACCCAGGCTGGAGTGCAGTGACATGATCTTGGCTCACTGCAACCTCCTTCTCCCTGATTCAAGCGATTTTCCTGCCTCAGCCTCCTGAGTAGCTGGGACTACAGGCGCGCACCACCACGCCCAGCTAATTTTTGTATTTTTAGTAGAGACAGGGTTTCACCATGCTGACCAGGCTGGTCTCAAACTCTTGACCTCAAGCGGTCCACCTGCCTCGGCCTCCCAAATTGCTGGGATTGCAGGCATGAGCCATGGTGCCCAACAAGGGGAATTTTCTTAGCCTCTCTGTGTTTCAGCTTTCCCACCTGTAAAACGGGGATAAAAATAGTACTTACCACATAGGGTTGTTTTAAGGATTAAATGAGAACATGTCAAGAAATTAGAAAAATACCTGGCACATAGCGAGTACATATGTTTTAGCTCCCGTTAAAGCCATCCACTGTGAGCTTATCCCCACCTCAAAAATTTCTTCTGGAGAGGTAGTGTTCTTTCTTGCCAAGGCTAATCTTTCCAACTATACTCTGGATCTCACCCTCTTCTCCCCTCTCTCATACATTTCTCTCTCTCTCTTTTTTAAAAATATAATTATGGTATAGTTTCTATACCATAAAATTTGCCCATTTGAAGGGTACAATTTGTGCTTTTTAGTATAGCCACAAAGTTATGCAACCATCACCGCTAATTCCAGAACATTTTCATCATCCCCAAAAGAAGCCCCATCCACATTAGCAGTCTTCATTTCCTCCCAACTACCCTGTCCTACCCAAGACGATCACTAATCTACTTTCTGACTCTGTAGGTATGCCTATTCTGAATGTTTCACAAGTGGAATCATAAAATACATGGCCTTTGGTGTCCGGTGTCTTTCAGCATGACGTTGTCAAGGTTTATCCATGTTGTAGTATGTATCAGTACTTCCTTTTTACAGCTAAATAGTATTCCAGTAGGTGAATGTACTACGTTTGCTTTATCCGTTCATCTTCTGAAGGACACTTGGGTTGTTTTCACTTTGGGGCTATTAGGAATAATGCTGCTGTATACATCATGTACAAGTTTTTGTATAGACATATATTTTCATTTCTCTTGGGTGTATAACAAGGAGTGGAATTGCTGGGTCATATGGAAACTATGTTTAACACTTGAAGAACTGCCAAAGAGTTTTCTCCAAGTCTGGTACCATTTCACATTCCCACAAGCAATATAGTAGGATTCCAACTTCTCCACTTCCTTGTTAACACTATTGTCCATCTTTTATTATGGCCATCTTAGTCGTCTCCCCTCTTTTGTATATTTTATTCTGTGTACTTGCCCCTGTTCTGTCTATAAATATCCTTAAGCTAAATGAACATTTCCTGACCCTGCTACTCTCCCAACACTATTGACTACACTTTTCTAATATTTGCTCCCTTGGTTTCCGTGACACCACTTCTCTGTGTACTCCTATTTCTTCCCTGGTTTGTCTTTTTCTCTTCCCATATAACCTAGACAGCATTCCGTAGTGCTCTGTCCTTTGCTAGTCTCTCTCTCCTTCTCTCTCTCTCTCTCCCTGACAATCTCATACTCTCTCACAACTTCAGTTACATTCAACACAATTATTAGCATCTCTTATGCTTATATGCTGCTTTACAATTTACAAAGCATTTTTTTAATATATTGTCTCACTTAATTGTCACAACAACCCTGCAAGTGAGTAGAGCAGGCATTCACTAATATGACCCTTGTCTTACAGATGAGGAATCAAGATCAGAGGGTTCAGAAGCTCAAGGTCTCAGAACTAGAAAGTATCAGAACCAGCATGAGGGTGGGGCACAGAGGCTCATACAGAGTGCTGTAATCCCAGCACTCTGGGAGGCCGAGGTGGATGGATCACCTGAGGTCAGGAGTTCAAGACCAGCCTGGTCAACAGGGCGAAACCCCATCTCTACTAAAAATACAAAAAATTAGCTGGGTATGGTGGCGAGTGCCTGTACTCCCAGCTACTCAGGAGGGTAAGGCAGCAGAATTGCTTGAACCCAGGAGGCAGAGGTTGCAGCGAGCCGAGATCACACCAGTGCACTCCAGCCCGGGCAACAGAGAAAGACTATGTCTCAAAAGAAAGAAAGAAACAGCATGCGGACCCAGGATCATCTGAATTCAAGTCAGTAAGTGCTATAGCCACTGCTTTCCCGAAGCCTTTCCTAATCACCCCATGTGGCCTTAGACTGTTCTTCCCTCTAGCGTCCATGAACCTGTTTCACAGAATGCATTATTCTGCCTTGAGGTGGACTGTGTGCATCTCTTATTCAAACCTATGCTCCTTGAGGGCAAGAACCATATCCTATTTCTCTTTCAACCTCCAAAGCTTCTAGAATCGTGAGAGCTGAGCTTATAAAAGGTAACCAAGGCTGGGCTCCGTGGCTCATGCCTGTAATCCCAGCACTTTTGGAGGCTGAGGCGGGTGGATCCCAGCTACTTGGGTGGCCGAGGGAGGAGAATTGCTTGAACTCAGGAGGCGGAGGTTGCAGTGAGCCAAGATTGCGCCATTGCACTCCAGCCTGGGCAACAAGAGCGAAACTCTATCTCAAAAAAAAAGGGTAACCAAGAATGTTTGTAGCACTGAATTGATCATCACCTGCCTATTTGTTGTGGGAATCTCAGCTTCATCTCCTTCCCATTGGAATGGCTGATTTCACAGCACCAGGGCTTTTTGTGCTCTAACATGTCTCAAAACCCTCCAGAAAGATTGAGCTCAGGTGGCTGGTAAACTAGATAATACCCTTGTTACTTTAAGTAGAGATTATTGAGTCCCCTCCCGGCAAAAATGCATTTGAATTGCTCCAGTTCTCTAGTTTGTTTGGTAGTTTAGATCAGAAATGGGTCCATTTGCCTCACTGTTTGAATGGAGTTTCCTGGGGCAAAAAGCCTCTTTTCATCAATTCCAAGATCATGACCCTATCGTTCTAAAACCCCAGATGAAATTTCCTCAGTCTTCACTGAGAATCTAAGAATGGCACAAAAAGTTTCTGCCCCAGAGATCTTTTCCTAAGAGTGTTCAACATGCTGTAATACCTTTCCTAATCCCTAACTCCGCAAGCTCAACTTACTAGAGGAAAATATACTTACTTGGGGTGGGAGGTAGCTATTTTAGAAAACTCATTGTCCCACATTGGTCTCCCAAAGGAGGTTTTCTGTTTCAGACCTGTCAGGATGTCAGTGGCCTTGTCAAAGTTTAATGCTGCATGACCAACCTGGATTCAGAGGAATAAAAGTTAGAAAAACCAAGTCCTGATCGCTGCCTCTTCTTTCCTCCACCTTTAAACTTGGGTGTGAGTGTGAGAGCAGGTAGGAAATAATAAGAAATAACTTCTAATCCATATGCACTATCCTTTGTCTGATATTCATCTTATGTTTAGCAGGGGAATTGGTGTATTATTTAAACTCACAATATTGCTGTCCCATCCAGTGAGGAAGAGACGGTAGTTTAGAAAACCCACTTTGCCTAATTCTTCCATCTCCTGTTCCAGGGAAGTCAACAGGTCGTTGAACCAGGAAAAGGCACCTGTCTCCCTGCAGATCCAGTAGAAATAGATCTGAAATCGGCAAGAGAGAGCATAGCCTTACTAAGTGACCTTAAACATCGCATTTACAAAGCAGCAAACTTTAGGGAGCAGGAATGTTCAGAGTTCTGACAATTTTCCTTATGAAAGAGCCTTCCAACATCTTTGGGTCAGGGTGATTTTAAACTGCAAATTGAAAAGAACACCCTGCTCTTATGATAAATCTGTAGAAGTGGATGTCCTGGCCAAGACAAGTGATCCCTTATTCTCGTAACTCCAGGGAGAGTTTGCTCCCTTATCAATTGTAAAGAGCTTAGCCCAGAAAGGCAATAGACTTGCCAGACCCAGATCAGGTGAAAAGTGATATACAGGATTATACCTTTTTTGTTTTGAGGTTGTGGTCTGCACACTGGAATTTGTACCAGATGGATTTCAAGATAGAAGCAAAGGGGGTGACCCCAATTCCTGCTCCAACCAGCACAGCCACTTCATACTGGAAAACATCCTCACTGGCTGTGCCAAAGGGACCATCCACTTCAATCCTGGCAGAATATAGACGACAACGGGCAACTGAAGACTCCCCTCCACTTCCAACCTCAAACATCCTCCCAGAGATATAGTTGTTCCCATGACTGGCTTCTGCCTATTTATTTTAATCTTAGTCTATTGCACTAAACTTAAGGTTCAACAAAGAATTGCTTTCTCTTTTCTGCCAGTCTGCATCCTGGTCTGAGACTCTGCTTGTATCAAGGACCTACCTGGGAATTGTTGAATATTGTTGTTCAAAAGCCCTTATGAGATTTTCTGTCCAGTCCCCTGCTGCTCGGATATGAATGGAGAAGAAATCTTCCTCTGGAGCAGAGGTCAATGTAAAAGGATGCCATTCCAAGAGAGAGATTGAGGGGCAGTTAACAAAGATATACTGTCCCACTTCCATGCTGAAGCCACGCTTGTTCATCTGCAATTCTACAACTTTGGATGGGTGCATGACAACCTGTGAATTAAGCACATAGACCAAAGAAGGCAAACTCTAATGGTGACAGGGCCAGACAGATAAAGCAAATGAGTGAAGCTGGAGGGCTGGTGACGATGGTGAACTACAAACACAAGTCCTCATTAAAGAGGACAGTAGCTGCTTAGCTCCAGACAATGGTTGCAAATGGAACCATGGCAGTGTTACCAGGTTTTCTGATTCTTCAAGAGAAGCAAGAAATTGCTTTTAAAAACTCAAACAGAAGCTTCCATCCAGATTTTTAAATGCTGGCAACCAATTCAACTTTATAAACAAACATCGTGTACACCAAACAAAATGTATCTGTGGACTAGATCTGGCCCAGGCTGCCCGTTTGCAACCCCTGACATAGACTTATCCTGATGATTTCTGCGAAACCCCTCTTTCCCAGTTCCGTCCTGCACTGGAAGAACTAAGGTATGTCAAATCCAAATTCTCTTTTTTTTTAGAGAGTCTCTCTCTGTCGCCCCCAGGCTGGAGTGCAGTGGCACAATCTCGACTCACTGCAGCTTCCTCCGCCTCTCAGGTTCAAGCCATTCTCTTGCCTCAGCCTCCCAAGTAGCTGGAATTACAGGCGGGTGCCACTACGCCCAGCTGATATTTTTCGTATTTTCAGTAGAGACAGGGTTTCACCAAGTTGGCCAGGCTGGTCTTGAACTCCTGACCTCAGGAGATCTGCCCTCCTCGGCCTCCCAAAGTGCTGGGATTACCACCCAGCAGGCCTGGCCTCCAAGTTCCTCTTTATCCCCCTCAGGGTGACAACATAAAAGTTTAGTTCTATAGTCTAATAGAAGAAAACTCTTATCACAGCAAGAGAAAAGTGCATACACTTTTTTTTTTTTTTTTTTTTTTTTTT